AATGTGCAAATTATATAATGTTCCTGTGCTTAAATCCTCTGATGGCTACTCATTGCATTTAGAATAAATGCTTCACTTAAGCTTCAAGACCCAACATGATCTTGCTTAACTCTTGCCTACCTCTCCCATTTCATCTCCTTCTACCCCCGAGTTCCCATCCTTCAATTCACTCCAGCCACCCTGGCCTTTTTTGCTTTCTTTCTGTTGCTCAAACATCCAATTCCACTCCTTTCACACAAAATTGATACTATGTTTCTTCTGCTTGAAACGTTTTTCCACCAGACCCCCAACTGCCTGCCACTTTTCACCAAGATATGTCAACTCAAGTGTTGCCTCTTCCAAGAGACCTCAGCGAAACACTATAGGCGAGGTAGTACCCAGTTACTCCTGCCTTACCGCCTTACTCTGGTTCACCTTCTGCAGACCATGTATCAAGGCCTCAAATTAGTTGGTTTATTTATTTATATATGTTTATACAAATCTTTCTTCCTCATGGAATGTATGATCTATGAGGTCAGAGATTCAGTTAGCTTTATTCTTGTTTACTGAAGAAAAAAAGCGGTGCATAATAGATCTATAAAAAAACCAGATGACTGACTCTCCAATCAACTTGGTTAGCCACAGGGCAAACAAAGTCCCTGCTCTCAAGCCCACAGAATAGGGGAGAACAAGTTGTAAGCCAACAAATTCAATAAAATGTTAATGATACCATAAGGAAGATAGCTCAAAAACTATGGGCCTATAAATAGAAGAAGTCAGTGTCTCCTCGGGGCAAGGGAAAGATGGCTTTAGAAAGGAAGCATTTTTGTTGAGTCTTGCAAATAAAGACAGAGTGGGGAGACAAGGCAGGGAGGCATGTGGACACTGTTTAGTATGGCAGAGACAGCCTGCAAATGCAAGAGATGGGGCTAGAGCTCCCTTCCCATACCACCAATTAGGTCACAACTTTAATCGTTAGGGAGAGAATTAAAATTTGAAAATGAGGAGCCAGACATTTCCATTTGGATTTATTCATTTAGGCAAAGCCATACCTGCTTAATTAGTCTGTATGAGAAGTTAGAAACCACAAGCCTGGCAGGGACTCTTGATTTACATTTGTAAAACACTCTTGATTGTTTATCTAGAAATTTTTGATTATAGTCATTTCTAGAATGCTCACCCTTTGTTCCTGTTCTCAGATCAGGCATAGTCAGCATGGGCTTCCCTCTGCACGCTTAGTTATGGACTTGCAGATAGATATTCACAGACCTGAGTGCTCACCATGTGTTGGGCCTTCTTAACATGTCACTTTCTAGTCACAGTAACTTGTTGGCACCTGTAGCAAGAGTCTGAAGCCTTTGGAGGATATTAACAACATTCTTTCTCACAGATAAGAATCTTAAAGTTTGAATCTTAAAATTAAAATGCATAACTATAGTTATGTATAAGTGATCCTTTAGGAAAGATAGTCAAATATTTTATTGTCTGAAAACTAAAAAGAAAGAAAAACAAACATGTTTCTTCATGCCTGAATAGAAAGATAGTAATTTTCAGAGTCAAATTTGTACTGGAGTAAGTGGCCACAGTCTTGTTCTGGAACTGTCACTTGACCTTTAAAAAGGCTGAATTTCAGCTATAGGGAGAATACATCCCAGACCAAATCCCTTTCTACTCATATACTGGTTGAACAGAGAACACCAATATATCCAAAGTGCTTGGTTGTGTCAAAGCAGTTTTTGATTTATTAATAGTATTTCCTAAACAGTTTAAGCACTCTTTTCTGATAGTTACTCCGAAATTTCTGATGAGAACAGGCATTCTATCCTTAATAATATGTTAGCAAATCATCACATATTAAACTCAGTGATTTCCAATTATTTCAGAATTGCTCACGTTGCTTTATTTTTTATCATTGCTTCTCTCCCAAGAGAACATGCCCAGATATATGCCTCTTATAAATTTTTTTTGGTGTAGATTATTTTATTACTGAGAATAATTAAATGTAATATTGCTGTGGGAATTCCAATGCTTTTTTTGTTTTTGTTTTTGTTTTTTTTAAATAATTGATAACTCCCTCCGGTTAAGGAAAAGCAGGTCTGGAGTTACTGTCATGTAGCATACAGTCCTGGTGTAAAACTTAGCCATCCACCTCCAGTCTCTCCTGTTTCTCCACGGTTTCAAACGGTCATCCTAAAGTGGTTGATTGAGATTCAGTCCTAACGGTTGGGGATCAAAAGGCAGAATCCATTGCACCTGAGTTTCCTTATTTCATTTTGTTAGAGTACAATTACTAACATAATTATATTATGAGAGTTTGTGATTTAAACAAAACACAAAGAAAATAAAACTTTCTCAGGTACCAGATTGCTCAATCATTTCTCAAATTGTATGATTGATATTTTTATTCAAAGAGGGTAGAACTATTTGAGCATATTGGATTTTCTCATAACCAGATTCCCATCAGGAATCACAAACCAGATCAGACTCTTGGAATCAGCTAGAATCAGTACTATTCTAAGAAAGTGGGAAATAAAAAGCTCAAAGGGAGATAGGATATGAGAAAAAAATTTGGCCTTTAAAACTTAAAAATTTGGCCGAGCGCGGTGGCTCACGCCTGTAATCCTAGCTCTCTGGGAGGCCGAGGCGGGCAGATTGCTTGAGCTCAGGAGTTCGAAACCAGCCTGAGCAAGAGCGAGATCCCGTCTCTACTAAAAATAGAAAGAAATTAATTGGACAGCTAAAAATACATAGAAAAAAAAAATTAGCCAGGCATGGTGGCGCATGCCTGTAGTCCCAGCTACGCGGGAGGCTGAGGCAGAAGGATTGCTTGAGCCCAGGAGTTTGAGGTTGCTGTGAGCTAGGATGACGCCACGGCACTCTAGCCCAGGCAACACAGTGAGACTCTGTCTCAAAAAAAAAAAAAAACTTAAAAATTTGAACATGATTGAAAGGTAAAATAAAGAAAGGTATTTGGACTACAAAAAATAACTCCACTAAAACAAAACATTGTGGTGCACAATTTACTGAAACAAGAAGCACCTAAATAGAACACTGATTGTCATGTGATTCAACATTCACAACTATTTATGAGTAACGTCTTCTGAGCCTGACCTTGTTCTAGACTTTAATTCATATCTGAACAGAATATATGAAAGCACAGGTCCTCCTTGAGCTTATATTCTAATGCCAGATGACAGACTGAGGAGTAAATAATATACTATGTTAGAAGATAAAGCCTATGCAGAAAAATAAAGTATGGGGATAAGAAATTCCTGGTGAGAGTTGGAGGAAGGAGAGGGGGAGACATCCAGAGAGAAGATAACATTTGAGTAAACAATTAAAGTAGACGAGATAGTGAGCCACACTCAGGATGTGCATCACCCAGTTTTAGCATCTGTTTGTGTACTGTATCGTATTGTATTTTTGGAAGTTTCGTGTGTTTTGTCTATCTAACAAGGGATCTCCCGAGAACTTGGGTCCGTGTCTATTTTCCACACTAAGCCCAAGTCCCAGCTCACAATAGGTGTCCGATAAGTACCTGATAATTTATTTTTTGATCATTCAATACGTTTCTATAAATATATCTGTCACCCAGTGAGACTAAGCTATTCAAAACTTGTTTTCAGTGAAGAAATATCACTGGGAGGCCTTGGGGAATGGGTAACAGTGGAACAAGCCATGTGAGGAAGCGCCTCTATTTCTCACTTTGAATTTAAGGCACCCGTGTCGCTGTCCCCCTTCTCAGGTGCTGAATAGTTTACATGCAGAACTCACTGATGCTATCCTTCAAATGAAACAGCAGTTGATTTATGTGTTCCTTCAGCCACTATAACTTCAATTTTTATTTTTCCTCCTTGCTTCCTGTTTTTGATGCATTTTGGTAGCATCTTGCAAACACAGAAAACTGTGTTGAAAGTCATTTTTGATTATATATCTTAATGTATTAATGTAGTCTACCACAATAAATAACTAATTGATTAATAGTAGGAAATAATCACATGCTTCAATGGAGTTCATATATGATATTCAAGATATATTCCTAAGCATAAAACATACACATTCAAAATAAAGCAATTATTGTACCATGTTTTTATCATTTGTGTGTAAGATCAAGGTACAGAAAATATATTTTTCAATATAGTCTTGGCCAAGTATATAGCAATTTGAGTTTCAATGAAAACACCTATCTGCTATCCCAATAATGAATGATCTCAAATTGGTTTTATAAGTGGATAACAGTTCTAAAGACTCAGTATTAGGAACAATAAAGTTATAGTTACATTTGTCAGGGCTCTTTATATCTTTTCTTTTCCAAAACAAACATTTATTGTTACTGAAGTAATTTGTTTTCATTCAAACAGTAGTGATTATAAATGAAAATAAGTGTATTGTTGAATTTCACACTATACATTGCTTTCTAGTGTTAGAAATCATTTTATCTTGGAGTTATCTTCAAATGAGAAGTGGTTTTATAGTCTAAACAATGAACTAACTCCAAAGATAGATTCCTGGACCTGTAGGACATACTAAAATCAATCACCTCACTAGAATGGGACTAAAATGACCAAATTTATCTTCTGCTTCTATATACAAACATTTTCAAACATTTTCTTCACCATTGAGATAGTAAGAGGAAAAGGGCAGGACAGATAGAAGAAATCACTTTTATATACCATTATGTATGCTTGAATATGAAAATGTAGGCCATTCTCTTGTTAAGGGGATAAAATATTTGATGATAATATAATTCAGTTTTCTTAGTCCATTAGCACTTAATGTTCTAATTTCAGTGAGTAAATGTTGGGGAAAATTATTTTTAGATGTTAATGTTTCACTCCTAATAAAATCAATGGGTGATTTGTACACGTTACTCAAAGGAAGAAGGAATTCTGTTATTCTGTATTCTCTCATATTAAGTATGTAAAGGATAATGTGCTTATTTTTAAAAGATTGTCATCAAAAATAATCATAGCCATATTTTTCCATCTTACCTCACTAATAATCTTTGCTATATACTTCAGGCATGAACTTCTTGAAGAAGCTCGGAGAAAGGGATTACCTTTTGCCCAGTGGGATGGGCCCACTGTGGTCGCATGGCTAGAGGTAAGAGAATTAAACCAGAAGGCACTTAAGTCAGTCATTACTAATTTGATAGTTGTTAGAGGCAGGTAAAGACAGGTTTCTGAAATTATAGCTTCTCAGCAGCCTGGAATTGCTTATAAAGGTAATATTTGCTTTACTAGAGTCCAGTGAGTATTGTGATTTTACTCTGACATTTTTTGTGACTGTAGCAGAAGAAAGCAGGCAATGGTGTAAAAGGAGGTGTCTCTAAATTCCACCCTCTTTATGTCTAGAGCAGGAGAAGAAACAATTATTGAGCCACCTTTTGTTGTTGCAGGAAAACATCTGTTCCCATCTATTGGTCCAGCGTCCTTCCTCATCAAAAGGTTACAGAGAAAAGCCATCTCTATATTCACCCCTTCTGTTATCCAAGACATCAAGGTCTCTTAATTGTACAGAGAGCCATTCATTTGCTTGTAATTTAATTCCTGAACCTAATTCTCTAAAGCCTAGGGACCAGCTAGGTTTAGACACTTGGGATAAAGTAGAAGACTTATCTCCTCATTCCCTTCTGTGTCCAAACTGAATGTTATAATGAAACAATAACTACATTCTGTATTTCCTGCACAACATAGTACTCTGGAAAAATAAGGCAATATGTGAACAGGGTGGAAGCAGCACAAACAGACTTTGACAGTGAGAGAAATACATATTTGTCCACAAAGGGCTCTTTATTATGTGCCATTTGTCAATAGTATTCACTGCCACTTCTGTTCTGTTCTCCTATGTGGGCTGCTTAATAGCTGTTAGGATATGTCCGTGTCAGGGCAAAGAAGAATGTAGGCTTTTCTTGGCTGAGAGAGGTAATTGTGCACATTGTTTTAAATTGCCTGGGGTTATAAAATCACCTACCTTCATTATCATATCATATCATATCATATCCAGAGCTAAGTCATCAATAAAGAAAAATTAAAGCAAAGCCCATTTTAGTATAAAAGTAGACTTACATAAATAGATATAAAAACATGCTTTGCATTTTTCTGGGACTGACTGAAGAAAACCTGTGTCTTGCTTTTATTTTATTCTTTCATATCAATCAGGGAAATTTAAGCATATCAAAGATCAGAGCTGTTTCTTCCAATCATGTATTTTAAATTACTATATTTTAAAAATCAATCACAAGACAAAATGCTTAAGAAATTACACCTCAAAAATCGTAGCAGTTCTTTGTTCAGTTTTCACTCCAATAAAATGAGCTGCAACTTGACAGAGAGTTAGCTGCTATTTTGGCGAACGATGAACAAATCCTTCAGATAAAAATACAGATTTGCTGACATTAAGGTGCTAGGAAATGACAGGCAGTGAAGTCTGTGCTAATTAAACCTATCCTGAGCACACAGAAATTGCTCATAATGTGATTCCAATGTGACTCAAGTTATAAAATGGAAGAAACAAAATGAATGAGGCTGGTGATACAGTAAGTGAAAGCTTTAACTTCACCTTCTTTAGTGCCTCCGTGAGTGTAGAGCCTATTAAGAATGTTGTGTAGGAGGGAGTCTGATGCTTCACACACCATTTATCCACATCAAGAACTCTTTAAAGTCTAATCAGGGATGACACTGGTAACAATGTGTTGGCAGGCCTTTGGGTAATGTTAACCCAAGTGGAAATCCAAATATGTTAGAAGACAGAGATGGAAAATCATTAGGGTCCAGTGAAGATGTATTTAGATGTTTAGTTACTTTGAACAGTTCGAGTTTATAAACTAAAAAGTCATAGCCCATCTTCTGTCATATCTAATGTGCCTGTCAAGATAGGGTCAATTCTTGGTGTCTAACCTGCTGGAAGAAAGCATAAACTGTGCAGTCATGCACTATACTTGGATTTCCTCTACGCTTCCTCCCATCTCAGTCACAGCCCAGGCCACATTGGCTCAAAGATGTGGTTTTTTGTTTGTTTGCATTTTTCTTACATAAAGACAAGTCGGTTTTTAGAACTGTAGAATTTAAATTAAAAGGATGTCTGTATTAGTTATCTATTGTTGTGTAATAAATTACCTCAACACTTGGCATTTATTATATCATAGCTTCTATGGGTCAGGAATCTGGGCACAGGTCAGCAATGGCTTCTGCTCAGAGTCTCTCACAGGGCTATAATCAAGGTGTCGGCTAGCGAAGCCATCATCTCAAGGCTTGACTTGGGGAGAATCCACCTCTGTGCTCGCTTATGCGGTCATAGTCATGCTTCAGTTTTTTTTTTTTTTTTTTTGCTAGTGTTGGCCAGAAACATTCATTCCTTGTTGTATGTGACTCTCCATAGAGCTACTCACAATATGGTAGCTGGCTTCCTTCCAGGCAAGAGCTCAGAGAGGAGGAGAGAGTGGGAGAGGACTGGCAAGAATGAAGGGCCACAGTCTTTTTGTAGCCTACTCTGGAAAGTGACATCCTGTCACTTTTAATATCAGCTATTCATTAGAAATAAGTCACTGGGTCCAGTCTACCCTCAAAGAAAGGAGATTATGCAAAGGCATGGATGTTGGGTGGTGAGGATCATTGGGAGCCATCTGAGCAGCTGTCTAACATGGTGCCTTAGAAATAATAAAGCTTGATCCCTCCACTTTGTAAATGAGAAAAATAAAGCTGAGGTTTAGATGAATAACATGAATCACCAATGACAGGGAAGAAATTAAAGCCCAGGCCTTCTGATTCATGATCCAAACCTAGTGGCATTGTATTTTGCTGATTTATAGTTTTTTATCTTTATCTCACTTACTTTTTCTCATTCTCACACATTCTCTCCTTTGCTCAATCTGTTATTTTATCAAATAAAATAGCAAAAAAAAAATCAATATTTTGGACATTTACAAACAAACATTTAAATTGCTAAGTTTATATTTCCTGATTCTTACTCATGCTAATGGGGGGGAATGGAGAGAATGTTCCTCTTTTAGGTATAAGTAACTCAGATGCTACAACACAAGGCATATGAGTTGGCATTTACTCAGGGCTCAAGATGTGCACCAGACACCATGCCATGTGCATAGCACTACCGATTCGATTGTCTTTCAAGAGTCTAACAGCAAAGTTGAAATATCAGAATCTCCAATTTATGGTGCATTATTAATTTCTCTTTAGCTACAGTTTTCTAGATGATTCTAACTGTAGTCTCTTTCATTATTACATCATTCGTTTTCCAAAAAGTATTTTCATATATGGCATCTAATTAAGTTCACACAAGAAGGTAGGTGGAAATGTGGCTTAGCTACACTGTATGCTTTGATCAAAATCACATGATTGGAGGTGGTATAGCTGTCTCTTTCTGTGACAGAATTCCTCTGCTTTCAGAATTCTAAAGGAGAATTATAAATTGAAGGCATTCAATAAACAAATATTGATTGAGCCTCTTACCAAATATGGCTTGTAGCTGTGCTTGTCCTTATATACAAGGGGGAACTTGGTGCTGTGCCACTATTACTTTTATCCCCTATTAATATAAATTAGTGCTAAAATGGAGTCTCTTGAGCCAGAATGTTTCAATTTCAAATCTTGACTCCATCACTACCTACCTGGTGTTTCTGAACATATTACTTAATGTCTCTGTGCATCTACCACCTCTGGGGAAAATCATGGTAACATTTATCTTATGGAGTTGTGAGCAATAGATGAGTTCATGTATATAAGGTACTTGCGATAATTCATAGCCCGTGAGACACTAAGATGTTAACTCGTATTATAACCCATGAATGTATTTTTTTCCTATCTAACAGCTCTGGTTGGGAATGCCTGCTTGGTATGTGGCAGCCTGCAGAGCCAACGTGAAGAGTGGCGCCATCATGTCTGCTTTATCTGACACCGAGATCCAGAGAGAAATTGGAATCAGCAATCCACTGCATCGCTTAAAACTCCGATTAGCAATCCAGGAGATGGTTTCCCTGACAAGTCCTTCAGCTCCTCCGACATCCCGAACTGTGAGTCAATTTGTGCTCCTTCCCTTCCCCAATGCTGGGCAAATAGCGCATGTCTAAGTCCACAGAGCAACACTATGGCAGTGCGCATTTCAATGTCAGCATGAATTATTCTGAAGAGATTTAGATTTATTTGCTCTTCATTAACCTTGCTGCTACTTTTAATAGGCTTTCAATTGAGGAGCTGTGATTCATATTAACTTTAAGGCTGGCATAGCAGACTTTTGAGCTAGCATCTAGACTAGAAGTTAGATTTTTCTCCCAAGCAGCAAGAACTCGTTTATTCTTTTCTAGCATGTTCTTTTCTTTCTTTCTTTTTAAAATGCAATCCAGTAATTTCTCAGGAGATGAGCTGTAAGCATTAGTACTTTCTAAAGATGCAGGGCATAACTCACTACTTTTTAAAAGTTTTCATAATCATGAAATTACATGAATTTTGATGTTCATAAATACCAAATGGAATATCTGAAATATCCTTCGTCCAAAATCTGTTTGCTTTTCATTTATAAATACCTAATCCTCTCATAATTTTACCCTATCCTAATTTTAGGAATGAATAAAATGAGAAGAAAAAGGCATTCATGATGACAAATTCAAACACAAAAATACCTCTCAAATAATATTTCATTCTTCATTCCATTCATGAATTATACATTTTGCTGATAAAGGATATTATTTCTGATGTTAACTGATTTTCCTGATCTCATGTCTTATACAGCATAATAAGATGCGGGAGAATGAGATAAATTTGAGCAGTGGGTAAAAGATTAAAAAGTGATATTTCTTTAGTGTAGTTTTCAGGCACAAAACTAACTTGAGCTTATCTTTTTATAAATGACCTTAAACAGTTTTAAATAATTTGCTTCATTTCTATTTACACTTATTTTCCTTCCAAATATACTAGATTCTAATGCCAGAAATACAAGGTCAAATTTAAAGGCTTCTATCTTTCTTGTATAATTCCATTTTACCTTCTTCCTAAATAACATGTAGGAAAAATGTGTAACTTTAACAACTCTTACCTATAAAATTATTTTTAGGTGGATATAAATGTTCTTCACTATACCTGGAGCATTACTCTCGCTAAAAGGTAATTCAGAATATAGTTGACCCTTGAACAACATGAAGTTAGGGGCACTGACCTTTGTACAGTCAAAAATACGACTATAATTTTTGATTCCTCTAAAACTTTACTAATGTCCTACTCTTGACCATAAGCCTTACCAATAACATAAACAGTTGATTAACACACATTTTATATGTTATATATATTATATACTTCTTATAATAAAGTAAGCTAGAGAAAAGAAAATGTAGAAAATCATAAGGAAGGGAAAATATATTTCCTATTCATTAAGTGGAAGTAGATCATTATAAAGGTCTTCACTCATACATCCTCTTTGTGTTACATGGGCTAACGAGGAGAAAGAGAAAGGATTGCTATTGGTGTTTCAGGGCTGGCACAGGCAAAAGAAAATCTGTGTATTAGTGGATACGTGCAGTTCAAGCCTATGTTGTCAAAGGGTCTGCTTTAAAATAAAAACTGAGCAGGCCATTAAAATACTTATTGTAAATTGAATTCAGATATGATGAAGAGTTTCCTAAATAATTTCTAGCAGCAAGATAAGCATCACAACTGGTTTATATCAACACTTTCCTCCCAAGAGCAAATGCAAACAAAAACATTAAAAATTCTGAATCTTGCAAAATAAGAGCACTTGATGTCCCAACTTCCAGATAAAAAATAGGTTATACTTTCATTTTTATTTAGCAGCATAGTCCATTTCTTAATGGAAAATTGAAAAATTGAGCACTATTTTTCTAGAAATGTTTAACCAAACTGAAGGAATTTAAATTACAGAATACTAAGGGTAAGAGTACGCTCAGTTGTTTAAAGAACAGACATAAGTAAAGAGAACTTATTGGACACTTCATGACACAGCCTCAGTTCACCTCAGAGGCTTTATTTCCCCAGGTCAGGATCCAAACAATATAGAACTGCTTTTAATTTTCTAAACTTCGTTGCCCTTGGTTGATTATGAACTTTTGCAATTGCTCTTCCTTTTGCCTGGAACATTCTTCCCTCTCTAGGTTCACCATGTATTTCCAACTCATCCTTCATTTATTGGTTCCTTCATCTCTCTCCTCTGAAAAGCTCTTGTGAAGCCCCCAAAGTCTGGGTCTGTTTCCCTTCCTGAGTACCACTCCATGTACTTGCAAAAAACATTTTATAATTCTCTCTTTTCTTGACTTATGTCACACTAGACCAGACAAGGATAGTATCAATATTCCACAAGTCCCAGGCCTTAAGTCAGTGTCTGGCAATTTGGAGATATTCTGTGAATATTTGCCTTAAAAATAATCATTTAATAACTAATTCTACCCACCATTGCACAGGATATGAAATTTGTATGGTCCTAAGTTCAGTGAGAGAAACTATACTAAGGAAAATAAGGCATGTTGACCAGTAGGTTTAGTACCAGGCGATATAATTTAACTCCTAAATGTGAAATAGAATCAAAATGCTATGGAGTTTCAAGAAAAAAGAAACTAGCTAACTAAAAAAAAAGCCCATATACCTTGTCTTTTTCTCCTGCATATATGAGTCATTGATCAAGATGCCCCTGGCTGAGGAACCCAAACCTAAAGCTTAATGTATAAAAAAGGTTTGTATGATCAGAACAAATTGCAGTGTTCTAGGAAACAGCATTTCTTGAAAAAAAGAAAGCATAAAAATTTGTCTCTGTACTTTTTAAGTATGAATCCTAATATATAATATTGGGTTATGACTAACATATGGTTGGATAAGGCACCAAAAAGAAATTAACATTTGAAGGACAGAGAATATATTGTTTGTAGCATTTAAGTTTTATATTTGTTTACTAAACTAATACATGATCCTGTATAACATTTGTTAAATAGAGAAAAATACAAAGACAACAATATAAAAATTTGAAACAATACAAATGATTCACAGAAATAATCAAGGTTAATTTTTTTCACTATTAATCTTTTGATAGAGACCTCTCCAGTCTTTTTTTCTTTACCTTTTTATAAAGATGGATTATTTAATATATTATTGTGTACTTTTTTTAAACTTATTAATATAGCATGGCATTTTCCTCATTTTATTAAATATGTGATTACAACATCACCTTTAATTGCTGCACATCTCATTTTTGGAAGTGCCATAATTTATTTAACCAAATCCCTAGTATTTGACATATTGCTTATTGGTTATTTCCATTGTAATATTTGTATATAGGGCATTCACATTCTTAATACTTTTAAACCTTAATTGCCTAATTATATTGTGTTGCCTCCCTCTGTCAACAGTGTTATCTCATTGCTTAAATTTACATTTTTAAAATTACTAGTAATGTTAAAAATTTTTATATTCTTATTGACCCAGTATTTATATTAATTACCTATTCATAACCTTTTCAATTTTGTATAGGATTATGGAAATATTTATCTTTTACCAGTGTGTAAAAGCTCTTTATTTGCAGAGGATGTATACCTTTTGCAAAATACTGATGCAAGTTACATAGGAGAGAAATTAAGCTGTATCTCTATTTCTTTAAAAATGATCTACTAAATGTTTCTTTTTCCTTTTACTTCATCTACATGGAGACATTTAGTCATTTCTAATATATCTCTAATATGGATTTGCTTTGTAAAACAAATATTTCATCAAAATTTATATTAATAAATCCATTGCATAAAGTGAAGACTAACACATCTTAAATTCATAACCTAACATTGTATATTAGGGGTTTTTTGGAAGAGAGGGTCTCCCTCTGTCACCAGGAGTAGAGCACAGTGTGTCATCATAGCTCACTGCAATCTCAAACTCCTGGTGCTCAAGCGATCCTCCTATCTCAGCCTCCTGTGTAGCTCGGACTACAGGCATACACCACCATGCCCAGCTATTTTTTCTATTTTTTGTAGAGAAAGGGTGGAAACTCGCTCTTGCTCAGGCTTGTCTTGAATTGTTGGCCTCAAGCATTCCTCCTGTCTCAGCCTCCCAAAGTGCTAGGATTACAGGAGAGAGCCATCACCCATGGCCCAAAGACAAATTTTTTATGCTTTTTTTAGAAAAGAAATGTTACATCTCCTAGAACACTGCAATTTGTTCAGATCATACAAATCTTTTGTACATTAAGGTTGGGGTTTGGGTTCCTCAGCCAGGTATATTTTTCATTGACTCAAGTACTCAGGAGAAAAAGACAGGGTACCTGGGCTTTTTTTTTTTTTTTATCTTAACTTATTAGAACTTCTGTCTGATTATACCTCCTTTCCTGTGTAAATAAAATGTACTGGACCAGCAAAAGGAAAATCTAAAGGTCACATTTATTGTTTCCTTGAGCCAGCCCTAATCTTCCAGTGTTCTGTTTCTTTTTCCCAAACTGCTATTACTATAGAAAGGCTCTTATGTGGTAGGATAGAAATGGAGATGTCCATTAATTGATATTTGGTTGAAGAAGGATGTCATTAAGTACATTCTTAAAATATTTTACCTTAAGTAAAAATGTGTAAATATTCAGACATTTGCAAAATTTACATGAAGCACCTAGAGCTTTTCTTTGAGTATGTTTCCAATATCTGGAGTTCCACATTATCTTTCTTTGATAACATCATCCATAAAACATCTTTAATTTTTCTAGTTTGGATTTCTTTTTAAACTGATGACTTCAAGATATCTTAAAAAGCTATTTGAGTGAAGATTATTTCTGGACATCTACAGTTTCTTCTCCAGACTGACAAAGTCATGTTTCATTGACAGTATGTTTTATGATTTGCTTTTATCTGTTTTTTTCCAGATAATTCAACTCAGTGTTCATATATGAGCCAAATTTCTTTTATTTTTTGCTTTATATAATATTATTTAAATTGCCTAATCAAATTTTAACAAAACTAATACAATGGAAATAAGTGGGTTTGAAACAAATAAAATCTTGGGTAACCATATAATTCAACAAGTTTGAGCAGAAATGTAAGACATAAGATAGGCATTACTCAGCACAGTGTGCAGGGTAAATCAAGAGTATTTATTAAATTAAAGATTTTCTTGAGTGGAGGTGACTTAACAGAATATCTAATAAAATAACAGTAGTAGCTACCATTGGCAGTTGCTTACTGTCAGGCACTGTTCTAAGTGCTTTACATGTGATAAATCACTTAAGCCTCACAACCATGCTATTAGGTATTTTTATTCTATCTGTTTCACAGATGGAGAAAACCAGTGTAGAGAAGTAAAGTGATACATCTAAGGTCACATTCCACGTAGTTTTAACCAGAGTCTATGCTACCAACAAGTACATTCTCCTGCTTCTGCTTCCTGCATTATATCAGTTTCCCTTCTTTTTTTCTAGCATTCTTTTAGTCTGTTTTGGTTCTTCTTTTCATTATTACTTACCTCATAAGCCTCAACATTTGGTGGAAATAAGGTGAAGTATAATTGTATAAATACCAGTCTTATTATAATGAGAATTATTTCTCTTATAATAAGAAACAAAAATTCAGACAGGAGAGAAATATGGATCCAGACCATTTGAATGTTAAAGTAAATTTCGAGTTACTATTTTGTATTAATAATTTAATTATAAAGAAAAAAATTCTTCAAAATGATCTAGGTAGTAACAAAAGTTGCTTTGAGCTAGGTAAAATTTAGGATTATTCTGGCTGCTTTAGGTATGCCTGTCTCTCTCACAGCAAGAGAACTAATTATTGTCCCCTGATTAATTTTCAATTATGTTCTTTTTAATATTTATTTTTCTGTCATAACTCTTTCCAAAGTGCTTTAATTAGGTAAGTGCTTTAATTATTAACATCCTTTAGAAATTTTCTTCTCAGTTCTCAGCTGATTATACTTTTAAAATATTCTATTCCATCTGAATCAAGAGGAGGCTTAGCAAGGCATCACAAGCACAAAATTTAAGGAGGCACTCATTGTCAGGTATTGACTCTGCGCTTGCAGGACCCTGAAAGCCAGTGCTTCCTTAAATGCAGCATTCTGGGACTTCACTTGCCTCATCTTCGTCCCAGCCATGTCTTAGAACATATTATATCATAATATAAACTTTTCAGTACTTTTTTCTAATATGAAGCATGTGCTTTTATTCCCACTTAAGAGGTGTAGAATCTGAAATTTAAGAGAGGTTTAGGAAATGTCCTAGGGTAGTTACTGGAAAGTGGCACTGCTGTAATTCAAGCCTCCTGATTATAATTTGGTAATTATTAATATAATTGAAATTTTATAAGTCACCTGTTAGACTCAGACAATATTAGCCACAAAAAATGACTACCGGTTTGTGTTTTCCAGCTCAGACATTGTGGGGAGTTTGCAACATAGACTGACTGCCAAGGGCAGTGAGGAGATTTTAAGGAGCTCTTAGAGGACCACAGCTAGGTTATGTGATGTTTGTCCTTTACGTTTTTCCAGCCTTTTTTTGCACTCTCTTTATCCTTGGTCCCAAGGCACCAGTGTCCTCATGTCCTTTGATTGATTGCTCAAAGCCTCCCAACTCTAGTGATTCTCTTAGGGTTGCCCTTCTACAAAATGCTCATGCTTTCAATTCTTCCTTCATGACTTACTGAGGTGAAATTTCCATCCCCTAAACTGGTAGTGGAAGGAAAGCAATCTGATTGAATATTGATTTACTACATATGGGCTTGCTTGTAAAAATAAACTTGTTAAAACCTCAACCAATGTCTACTTGATTGGGTTGTGTGGAAGCTATTTTGTGGGTTACTTTACAAGATTATAGGGCCAGCAATGTTCTTCATAAGTAAAACTGCACATCAAAGATAAGCAACCAACATACAACTTCTGAAAGTTTGCCAACCATAGTATGGAAAATTGTCCTGGATATATACTCATTTTGCAAGTAAAGATACAGATAAAACCATAGCTTGCAGCATCTTCCCCATCACAAAACCTGCTGACAGACTGGCAAACACAGATTTAAAAATAACCTCTGAAAGATATCATGCATGTATCTATTCCCATATGAGATAATACTGGTGGTTTCCTATGGATGGAGTTAGATATTCATTATTTGGATTCAGAATCAAAGTAAAAGCTACAGAAATTATTGTAAAATTGATTTTTCACTGTCCTGCAACCTTCGGTCATTTAAGACTGGCTTAGATGAATTTCCTCTCACATAATCATCGTGGAAACTCACTTTGAATAAGTAGTACAGCTGCTTAGGCAAAGCACTGTGATCACTGGATGTAAAGGAAATGTGACAGACGAGCGTAAGGTGCTTTTTAGCGTGGTACATCCTCACAAAGTCAATAAAAACAATATTCTCCAAGTGACTTAATGTTTTATGTATTCGTTCACAACTTTCTGTTTATAATGAGCTCCATTCTTAGAAGCTGGAAGTAGAGGAGAGGGGCTTTCAATGACATAGATGGCTTTTGTAATCTAAATTAATTTAAGGTTGTGCACAGATTTATCATAGAGGAAAAAATTTGGCTATGCTCTGAGTTCCAAAATGGTAAACATATGAGAACTGTATACAAATATTTGATGCCTAACCTTTGGAACTTTTATGCCTAAGTAATTTATTTATAATTATTAATCTTTACTACCCAACTCCCTTTGTTACTCAAATATATACAGTCATGTGTTGCTTAACGATGGGGATATGTCCTGAGAAATTAGTTGTGGAACGACATGTTGCGAGAATATCGTAGGGTGTACTTACACAAACATAAATGCTATATCCTACTACACAATTAGGTTATATGGTAGAGCCTATTGTTCCTAGACTACAAACTTGTACATCGTGTTACTGCACCGAATACTGTAAAAAATTGTAACCCAATGATATTTGTGTATCTAATATGGAAAAGGTAACATGGAAAAGGTACAGTAAAAAATATAGTATAAAAATAAAAATGGTACACCTAAATGTACCATTGTACCAATGTAAATGGAGCTTGCAGGACTGGAAGTTGCTCTGGGTGAGTCAGTGAGTGTGTGGTAAGTGAATGTGAAGGTCTAGAATGTTACCACATACCACAGCAGAGCTTATAAACACTACACAGTTAGGCTACCCTAAATTTATAAAAAATATTTTTTCTTCACAATTAAATTAGCCTTAGCTTACTGTAACTATTTTACTGTATAAACTTTCAATTTTTTTAATTTTGACTCTTTTGTAATAACACTGAGCTTAAAACACAAACCTATTATACAGTTGTACGAAAATAATTTCTTTATTTATATCCTTATTCTATAAGCTGTTTTTCCTGCTGTTTTTTAATTTTTCAACTATTTTGTTAAAAACTAAGACACAAACACATACGGTAGGCTAGGCCTACACAGGATCAGGATCATTAATATCACTGTCTTCTACTTCCACACTTTGTCCCACTGAAAGGTCTTCAGGGGAAATAAAACACAAGGAGCTGTTGTCTCCAATGATAACAATGCCTTCTTCTGGAATACCTCCTGAAGGACTTACCCGAGGCTGTTTTACAGTTAACATTTTTTTTGTAGGTAGAAGTACACTATAAAATAATGAGAAAAAGTATAGTATAGTAAATATATAAACCAGCAGCATAGTCATTTATTATCATTTTCAAGTGTTACGGGCTGTACATAATTGTATGTGCTATACTTTTATATGACTTGTAGCACAGTAGGTTTGTTTACACCAACGTCACCACAAACGAGTGAGTAATACATTGCACTGCAATGGTACGATGGCTAGCTACATCACTAGGTGATAGGAATTTTTCAGCTCCATTAAAATCTTACGGAACCATCATTGTATATGCAGCCCATCATTGACCAAAAACAACATAATGTGGTACATGACTGTGTGTGTGTATATGTGTATATATAGAGAGATATATACACACATACACACACATATATACATACACACAATTTCACTTATATAAAATTATAATCATCGATTTAGTTTATATGTAGTTACATTTTAAATTACGTTGAATCACACTACCTCTAAAACAGGGAAAGTCAATCATGATATTAAGTGAATGGTAGACAAAGGTCAAAGTGAATTATGGTGATGTTTTATGATGTTTGGGTAACAATTTTGCTACTTTCAATTCTTTAAAACTAAACCCTTCCCCAAATAAGTAACAAGTAATACATTGGATGTAAATTACATCGATGTGCTTGGACAACCTTGTAATATATAGGTTTTGTAATTTGACAGTATTTAATAAGGATGAAAACTGCCTTTAATAAATAAAAAATAGCATTTCACTTATTTTTGATTTGTAAGAATAGAAGAACACAACATATTTATTGAATTTCAAAAGGAAGAAATTGGAAAAGCTGATGCTGGTTTCCAGACAGGTTATGACAGTGCTTACAGCTTTGTATTGATAACCGATTTTCTCCATCCAAGGACACTGAAAAATCAAAATTATGTGAAAGAAATTTTGGTAATAATGCAACAAAATACATGTGTCATCATTTTCTGAAGAAAACAATAAAATTACATTGTTGTACGGATCAACTTTAATCAATTCTCCATTTTTACAGAAATAGATCTGATAGCCTTATACCTTTGAAATGCAAATTTTGATCAAGCCCTTTTTCTGATTAATAATCACAGAAGTATCATTTTAAATCTACCCCCCATGAGTTCACAGAATGCCTCTTTCTATTTAACCTTTTTGAGTACAGGAAAAAAAGAAACTCTGAGCAAAGCAGCCGTGCTGTGTGTCTCTCATGCACACTGTAGAGGCAGGGACACTGTGGTGTTGCAGTGATGCTGTTAACTAACTTACAGAGGTGCTGCCTTTCTTCTTTACCACTGCTTCCCTCCCATGGATCCCACTGCTTCCCTCTGGGCCTCCTCACTAGCCTTCAGGCAACGTTTGGGTGACCCACGAAGAAATGGAAAATCTTGCAGCTCCAGCAAAAACGGTTAGTCTTTACGGCTTTGTTGAACTTGAAGAAAAGTTACTTTGCTGGTACTTGGATGAAGCAATTAATTTGTTTGTTATAGACCAGAGTAATAAGATGTGTTTATATAGTTACATGCAAAAATAACTGACTTTTTATTCAA